AACTTTGAATACAAATTGAATCATGATTTATTTTTATTTAAATGTTTATTTTATAATATTGTACTCAGCATGGAAAATTAAATGGAAAAACTCTTCATGCCCTTGTATCCAGGACAAAAACAACAATACTATTAATGCTTATATTAATTCAGTATTCCACAGACAACCAGTGATAACTGCTCAGCCTTTTCTGTCAAACACACACATATTCTCAGTGCATCAAAGATAAAAGATGTATGTCATTATTTGTGCCATCAGCACATAGTCATGATAGATTAGAGGATAGTGCTGCCTCCAATGATGTCATTGTCTGATGTCATGATATCAATACTTCAATACCCAATACATTTGAAACTGATGAAAGTCGCCCTCTAAACAAGAGGAACATATTAATATATATGTTCATATTAATATGAACATATTAGACACTTGAAGAGCAATACAAACTTAATCAAAATAAGAATAATAATTATTTAACGACATCACACACCAAGAACAAAAGGAACAACAAATTAAGTAATTCAAAGTTTGACTTTAAAATAACTACGACTGAGCTTTTGATGCATGAAGGAAATTCTGAATAAACACGTAGCAGACAGAGAAGTATGAAACATTGCCTATGAAATGGCGTACTACAGTAAGTAGTACTTTTACTTTCTTATACAATATTTGTCACTGCTGTCATTGTTCATCCCAAAGAAAAATATATCTGTTTGCCACAGAAGTGACAGAAAGGTTTAAGCCACGCCTCTGGCAAGAAGCGTAAAATGAACAGGAGAGGACACATATGATGTGCTCCACTGAACACATGTTCAACCTACACCTTACCATTCATACCAGTCTTTAGCTTTCACTAGTCACAGACTCAAGTCTGCACCTGGAGCTCCATTCAACAGCACTGCCAAACCACTGTGACCCAAAATTCACAGCAGTGGTGAGATGTGAGCGGTGTGTACAGTAAGTACTACAGGTTGACCCATCTGTTAAATGTACACCGGCTCAGTCAAGGCACCTATCCTCACAAGTAGCTGTCCTTTCTCCCAAGAAACCCAGAGCACTGACACCTGCCATACTGTTTTCACCAAGATCATATATATATATTGTATAATAGTAATTGGTAACATGCGTTTTTCAATACTGAGTTCATTTTTTCAAAACTCTTTCACAGCCAGCACACAGAGGTCAATGTGGAATCAACTGTGGATCACTTCATTGCTTTGACACAAAATCTATTCAATGACCACATCTTTAAAAGATTTCTCACTCAAATTCAACCACCAGAACTCTGTGTGTATTTACATACTATTGTAAAAACATAATCCAACATTACTGTAAATTAGACTGCAATGTGTCACATTGTGCTCCATATTCATCTTCAAAGACATTTAAAAATGTGTGGATTGATACATTTGTAAAAGTAGAAAAATGTGACAGTTTAGTGACATACGGCTACAGATACAGTATGACATGCAGGCTGTGTGAAATGGCTGCAGAAGCTTAATTTTACTTTCTTCTTGCGAGCTCATTTTTGTCGGACAAACGCTGGGTTCTTACTGGACATGGAAGACACTTCCATAGAAGCGCTGCTCCTGTCCTTCCATCGACCATGTGAACCCGTTGGACTGTTCACTCAGGAAGCCGAGCCCCCCGAGCTCCATGGCCGGCTCCCGGTCTTAGACAGTTCATCTTAGTTTTGCCGTCTGGTCTATTTTCTCTGTCTGCCAAAATTAATCTGGCAAGAAAACACACTGATAATCTACTTTAAACAATATGAATGAGATATTATGATAGATTTATTTGATTCTGATGAATGATAAAATATGCATGCTTGACAACACATATTTTCCTCCCCCTCTCCCTGCTGTTCTCCTGGAGTTTCAATCCCCCACACACGAATAGCCTATTGTCACTGTTTGCGATCATGTTTCTTTAGTTATGTAAGCTACTTATTTCACATATTTGTTATTTGTGTCTAGACAGTGAGTGAGTTTGTGAGACACAAACAGACAGACAAAGATACGCTTTACTGATGGTACTTTACGTATATTTTGATGTTAATACTTTTATATTTTGAATTAAGTAACATTTTGACTATTACTTGTAATACAGTACAAGTCCAAGATCTGATTAGGCTTCTTCTTTTTCCACTACTGTGCTCTAGTAAACTATTTAATCATGTTGTGTAGATATGAATGGTGACACTGCACGAAAGTCAAAATCACAAAGTATTGTAAACAAGTCGGGATCTGTGTTTCATGACGGGCCGATCGGGTTGCTGATCACTGCAGACACCCAGCACTGTGGACCCTAATACTGATGAGGAGCATGTGTTTGATTGAGAACGTGCACATTTCAGGCCCTGGACCCTGTTTCTGTGCTAACCACTGAGCCATCTTGATGTCCAGCCACTGTGTTCTCTAAAAGAGAAGGGCAACACCTGAACTGGGTTCACACTGACATAGAGATAAAAAATGATTTGCACTATTAAATTGCGAGAAGTGGGGAAAATCCACAAATGAACCCAGGTTACATTTAGCCAGAACCAGCTGATCTCCACCTCTCTTTTGTCCACCACATACTTCCTGAACTCAAATATAATCAGTGTTCCACAAGAAATGTCAATTCAACAGATCTAACCACGACAGAATAAAGTCAAAAAAAGGAAATGGAATGTCCTAATACCATCTATGTGTACTTCAGTTTTGTCTACCATATCTAGATCCATATTTTCAACCGTAGCCTGCTATTTCCAGTTTCTGCTCAGACAATTACAAAGCTATAACATCTGTCCTTACTGACAGAGGGCCCTATTTTGTGGAGGACCAGTGCAAGGAGCGCCCCAACACTGGTATTTTCCTGACACATAGTCCCTTATGTGTTGCAGTTGTGGTGTGGGAGGGGAGTTAAATAGGGTTTTAGACATTTCACAAATCAAATCTGGTCCAACGTCACTCTACTGCCTCTTTCGTGATTCTTTCAACCAGAGCAAACAAAATGCTCAGAGCAAATAGTTAGCAATAAAGGAATGACTAAAACATAAATATGTTCAAATTTTACAATATGATGTAAAAATGTACAACCTGAGATTTAGACTGAAAAAAGCATCACATTGATGTGGTAATAGTAATGGCGTCATCAAATATGTTTTATCATTTATTTATTTGTATTCATTGTATTAATGCACGGTAAATAAAACAACATGTTTAATGTTATATATTCCAGACAACATTCCTTTCCATTTGTTGAGCTGTTGGGGCAAAGCATCATTGTGATTGGCAGAGCTGTTTCAGAGCAATTTTAGTTTGATGAGAGTGTATTTATTGATCACTACACACACAACAGCAGCATAATCCGTGCGCCCAGGACCTGCAGCTTTGCACTTGTCGTTGCCCTTTTGTGCTCAAAAAGGCCCGTAAAGTAAAAAAGGTATGGATATACGTAACGTCCAGGTCATCCGTTTTCTAAATGGTAGCTTTGGAGGAAAGGTTTTATGTTATTCTACCTGCTTTGTTGTCATATAAATATATGTGACTGGTTCTTGTGAGTTTGTTCTTGTCATTGTGGTAATTACATTGATTATGCATTGATATATATGCATTGATATAGTATATGCATTGCCCGTTGATGACGCAGCATCCCGCCATGCTGGCGTCATAATGAGGTTATTAGGAGGTGGTTCAACTGCAGTAGGACATCACTGAAGGCCCAGGTATAAAATGTACGGCCCGCCACTGCACAAATATCACCAAGGCTAATATTATTAATTACAAGGCCACTCACACAAGTGAAAAACAACCCAACCATGCACTGCAACAGAATCCACTCTCTCACCTCTCTCTCTCAAAAATAAAAATAAAAAATAGGGACGGCCGTGGCTCATTGGGTAGAGGCTCGACCTGCAACCGCAGCCCTCGGCTGCTACATGTCCTGTGCTGAAGTGTCCCTGACCAACACACTGAACCCCTAACTGCTCCCCGGGCGCTTCTCAGCAGCCCACTGCTCCCAATATACTAGGGATGGGTTAAATGCAGAGGTCAAATTTCATGTATATGTAAAAATGTATATTGACGACTGTAATAAAGTTTAAGTTTTAAAGTTTAAGTTTTTACCCAACACACATGCGCACACTGATGCACACACTCAACCCCAAACACCGAACGTGTGTGTCGCTGTCATAATCCAGCCAAAGCAAACATGCTAGAGATCAAAACATTGTCTTTCTAACCTTAACAAGAATGGACAACATGAACTTTCTCTTGGACATAATTCCCTGACATGATGCGTACAATCAGTCCGTTTTGAAGAAGAAGAAAAAATCCACTGCAGTGCAGTTGTTACGGTTTTCTAGACTACACATAATTTGCATTGCAGTCAATGTGAAATAGTGCTTCAATGGCAATATAAAAGAAAACACCCAAAAAACATTATATATTTGTGAATATATGTTTTGCAGTTTGCAAAATGAATACAGTAAGGGTTAAAATACATTTAAGTGACAATTGCAAGATTTTTTTAGAAACCACCCTAAATTTAGCTTTTGAGGCTTTTAGGGGGTCTCAAGTATCAATAGGGGTCCAAGGTGCTCTTAGACATCTTGTTTATTTGCTTCATTAAACAAATGCATTATTGATGTGCTTGTGAACCCATATACATTTTCATATGACGGTGTATCAGACTGTTGCAGCCCCTTGTGTGGGTGTTAGAATGC